CTTAATTTTTTCTGACTTTCCAGTACTTGTTTCTTATAGCCAGTTTCTTATATAAAAAAAATGATTGTATTTTGCTGAACCTGTCATAGTTGCAGAATTTGCACGTCTGTACTCGCAGGTAATCAAAAAACGTTTAGGCCCATAACTTTTGTGGACCAGAAGGATTTGTGTGGTTAACGGCTCTTGATTTTTTCTCAAAAACAAGGATGCCAATGGCAATCCTGAACTTAAACGTCCCCTCCTTTGCCCTTTGTTCTAGATAAATGATAGAAAATCCAGGAAAAAATTATCCTGATCTAAAATCCACTTCACTTTAAAACTGCCACATTAAGTTTCTTTTACAGAAGGATTATCGTAACTCAAGCTGGACAATCCGTGAGTATCTGAATCCCTAATCCACTGACATTAATCCGAAAGTTCACTATATTATTATTACTGGATTAAAGGCACAAAGGTCATGGGTTGTACCTATTAGCCGTAGTTAATCCGAACAACACAATCCTGCCAATCCTTTGACAGGTTTAATTGCATCAGAGCCTATCAAAATTTGAGCAAAAAACTGCAACCTATAAACCCAACCAAACCGATTTAGGTAAAAGGGATTTAAATTTAATCTGCTCTTGCTGCAAAACCAGATAATTCAAAGGTGTTCCCAAACTAAAGAAGGATTTTCAATGTTTGTAATACTCGTGCACACTTCTCTTGACACTTTACTACCACCCACCTGACCTGCATTTCCATTGACAGCCTAACTGCTGGTTATAGATCAGCTTTATGTCCTCATTCAGTCTAGCTGTACTGATGAGCTCTGATATGGGGCGAAACAACTGATCTGAAAAAAGACTGGATCGAACAACCTATTGTTCCCCCACATCAGCATGATAAGGCTGATCGAGTCTCTCCATCTTGAGACCTCTTGCGCCTAAAGCTTTGGGCTGCCATTTGTTAAAACAGCGCACACACAGTGCTGTCAAAACCTCAGCACTGCTTTGCGGTGCGGTTGTTGGTGATATTGCTTAAAGTGCCTGTCGAATCTCAAAGACTCGTGCGTACTTCCTTTCGCAGTTTGTTGACGTCATACTGCTTATTAAGATGTATTAGCTAATGCAGCACTGGAGTGGCCACGAGGTTTGATAAAAAAATGATGGGGGTGCAACGAACATAAGAACAGGATACAGGGTGCGACAAACACAATACAGGATAGGGGGTGCAACTGCTTGCCCTATAGTAAGACCTTTCTGGAACCGCTAGACAATGATGCACTATTCTGCTCCCAAATAGAATTGTATCCCCTAAATCAGAGTTTCTCGAAAACCGGGAGCGGAGGGGGGGGGGGGTTTATGTGCTAGCATCTGGTATAATGGGTATAAATGCCAGTATTTGGGAATATTAGTGACAAATATTGCGATGGATACTAATGATTAGTTGAAAATCTCCAAGAAATCCCTGTAAACAAATCCTTATATTATTCTCAAATTACACAAACACCCGAGATCACGAGCCCTGTTTTTGGTATGGCAAATCCCCACCACTGGGTATGTTACCCCACTATATTTGACACCAGAACGCTTGATGAAAATTTTGACACTCCACGTGACCTATTTGACCATTTCACGTGACCTTCTTGACCACTCCACGTGACCTACTTGACCATTTCACGTGGCCTACTTGACCATTCCATGTGACCTACTTGACCATTCCCTGTGACCTACTTGACCATTCCACGTGACCTACTTGACCATTCCATGTGACTGAATTGACCATTTCACGTGATAATCAATGTATTTAAGCTTGTTTTCCGTTGAATGAATAATAAAACAACTTTTTACATGAAAGCTGAATATAGTTTCGACATTTTGATGAGCGGTTAAGTTTGACGGAGAGATAAACATTATTCAACGTCCATGCACAAAGACGAATTTTTGATATGCTAGTTGCATCTATTCCACGTGATGTTGGCTACATCTTGGGAAGGAAAATCACGTGCTATCGTCACTGGATTTACAGCAATAAAAACATAACACGTGACAAAGACAACATACCAAACACTCTGATTCTTCTGCCAACGCTTGTAACAGACCAGTTCCCAACACTTGCCACGCATCTAAATTCGATATTTTCTAAACTACTCGTCACATTCTGTATTTCCAGTGTTCCATCTTTTAGTATTCGCGTATTAGCATCTGCTACCAGCTGTTGCCCATTCTGTTGCCATGACAACGTGATCTTGTCAGATTCCCGGCATTCACAGCTTGTCTTGCATGGTAAAGAGACTGTCTCGCCTTCAGATGAGGTTGTATACACCCGATCTTCTAATATTGATGGCAGTGGGTATGCAAGTTCCCCAGACCAGCTGATTTCTGCGTGAGATGCTGCGAAAAAACGCGTGAAAAGTCAGCAAAAATTACTTTAGCATATGACGAAACATCTCATTAGCATAACAATACACAATAACAGAAGCAAGGGGAAAGATTAAGTTAAAAGCGAATAGATGCTGGAGTAAAATCATTTGATAAAACGCGGGATATCTAAATGCCGAGGAAGCACGCGGGAAATATGAGGAAATGCCGCCAATGTCCTGGGGGGAAACGCGGAATATTTGTAAGAACAAAGCCAGCAGATCTATAGACCTTTAGAAAACATCAGACCTTTTGCAAAACACTACTAGGGCAATTATTCGTAAAAATTAGCATTTATTATCATAATTATCATTTCACTACTAATTTTTGTATAAACGGTTCCGTGAAAATGATAATGCAGATATAATGTTGTTGTTGTTGTTGTTGTTGTTGCTATTGTTGTTGGTGGTGTTGTTGATGATGATGATTATGATGATCCAGGTCATGAGAATAGTTGTTGTTATTGTTCACCATGATGAATAAACTATTTATGATGATTATGATTACATTGTTATTGGTGGTGTTGATGATGATGATTATGATGACCAAGGCGCATAAGACATTGATTCTCATTTCGCAACGAGCTTTTTATTAGTCACGATGCACGAATAACGACCAATATAAAAAGACCAGCCTAGACATCCGTTGACTGTTTCAGACTTGCACGGCATACTGCAGCAAAAGCTGGTATGGTACACGAACTACGTACGACACGGCTTCTTGTAAACAAAGTTACCCCTATGTTGCTTTCAGTTCAAGATGATGTCTGTAACGTCAAAATCTACAATGAAATTTCTAGGGGTTGATGACCCCAGAAGATAAACTTAGTGGCGGACGCCTGGGGGCCAGGGGCCGTCGCCCTCAATACTTTGGAGAGCAATGGTTCTTTTTTCTAAGACAATGGGAAATGTGATGTCATCTTATTAAAACAATAGGCTGCCCCCCCCAAACATTTGACCAAGTGTCCGCCCCTAGATTAAATCGATTCTTTTCAGGGCCACCGAGAGGTTTTGGAGGCCCTGGGGCAAAATGCAGAACGAGGCCCCTGCGTGCACATGGAACAGAAAATGTTCGCGACTACATCCTTTAGATTAGCTTAAAATGCTTTACAGAATAATTCTTGCAAACTTGCATCCATTTTGCAACGTTAGATTAATTACATTTTCAAAATGGAACTTATTACTTTACGAGGCCCTTTAGATCTGGAGGCCCCGGGGCAATTTGCCTCATTACCCCCCGCTCGGTGGCCCTGATTGTCTTACTTCCACGCAATGATAAAATTTACCTGGAATCCTAGCGTTCCGTGTATTATAAGGACACATGGCGTGACAGTTTCTAGACAATCACAGACAAAGTATACTGGCCTTTTCTTCGTTGAAAGGATTAGGAATCACACAACTCTTCGGGTGCAAATAGAGGGGAACACATTCAGACGATATACGCCTCTTTCATGGGCTCCAACGCAAGTCGAAAAGTGGAGGGGGGGGGGGCAAGAGAAAATTTAGCAATCATAACACAAAGATTTGGAAAAAGATATTTTGTTTTGCAAAAAAGTGGAGAGGCCGTAGCCCCCTGCCCCCCTTCGTCGAAGACCCTGTTTTTATATAATAACAAACCTTATAGAAAACATCAGACTGAGATTTGAGGGGCAAATAACTCCAAGAAAGTCTCGTACACCCTTTGTAAAAAAAGTCCAATGGTTTTTTTCTGAAAATTCCCAGAAATCCTTTAGTTTTAGAGAAAATCGCGTACCATATTTGCAAGGGTGAATTGCCCCTCGCTGAGATTTACCCCAAAAAATAAAAATAACACAAGAAACAAGGCAGGCTGAAATTCAACAAAACTCAAGAATTAAAATACAGGCTAAAATTGAAAAATGAAAAACAGTTACATGAAAAACAGACAGCGATAAACAAAACAGCATTAATAACTTTATCAAGCACATGTTATGTCCGCACACTACTATGCACAGGGAATCTCATTGAAAAATAAGAAACAAAATAAGAAACACTTTAGGCCGAATGCATGCCAAGAATAGGAAAAGCCAGGCTGAAACTGGAGTCACGTGTTCTTGTTAAAGGGGAGTAGGGAGAAACACATTCACACGATACTTGGAAATTGAGTGCGTGGCCTCGAAAAATGGTTCCATATGATAATAATCGGGGGGGGGGGGTTGGATCAATAGGGAGAGGAGGCTGGAAGAATTGCTTTCCGTTTTCATAGTTGATATAAAAATTGCTTTGCTTTTGGGAAAAATTTCCGAAAACTTTATTTATCAAAAGAACCTCATACGATGTTGGAAAGGAGTGAAATACCAAAGGGCCGCCAATTGCGAGGCCGGACACTCGGGCAACGACTGCGTTTGTGCGAATACATCTTGCTTGAAAACGAATAAAGATTCCAGAAAATGAAAATTAATATAGGCTCCAAAATTATGGGCTTGAGAATGGACCCAGCCCCCGGGGCACTTGCCCCCTGTAGGTGTCCCCTGGAAAAACCCTTGTCAATAAACGCAAAAAGCCACCAAAAACCCAACGCTGCGAGGCGCTCTGAACAAACAAGGAGAAGAAGATGCGGAGGATGACGCCAATTTCTGTTGTGTGACTCCATAACAGTGTCTTTGAATAAAACAATGTCTTACACGTTTGTCATATACGATGCACGCTAAACTACGGCTAACTAATAGTTCAATAATTGATCAGAGTGCGATTTCATGATTCTAATTAGTCTCACTGACTAGGAATTGTCTAGTTTCCATACTGCTCGACCTGATAGTCATAAATAAGCATGATTAATAGTCATAAATAAGCATGATTAATAGTCATAAATAAGCATGATTAATAGTCATAAATAAGCATGATTAATTATTTCAAGTAAAGGGTTAGGGTTAGGGTTAGGGTTAGGGTTAGGGTTAGAGTAAGGGTTAGGGTTAGGGTTAGAGTAAGGTTTAGGGTAAGGTTTAGGGTAAACTAATTACGTCATCAGGTCGAGCAGTATGGATTCTAGACAGCTCCCACTGACTATGGCTATAGGGTAGCCTCGATACAGCTCGTTTAGTAATGACATAGGGGATGATTTGTGATTATAATGATTATATTTACTGCTGATTTATGTCAATCATGGTGATTTCGACGATTATTTATCATAATTACAATTATTCATGATAATTATAATAAATATGAAAATAAGGATAATTTTTGCTGAAGTTGAAGCTTACGACGATTTACTAATATGATTTTAATAAAATTGAGGCTTTGATGATGAATCATGTAATGGCGATAATTAAAGATTTTGATAAAGATTTATGAAAATTTTGATAATTAATGATAATGTTGAAGCTTTTGATGATTAATTATGATCATAATTTTGATAATGGTTTATGATAATTATGCTGATTTATGATACTGTTGAAGCTTCTGATGATTAATTATGATTTTGATAATGATTTATGAAAATTATGATAATTAATGATAATGTTGAAGCTTCTGATGATTAATTATGATTTTGATAATGTTTTATGAAAAATTATGATAATTAATGATAATGTTGAAGCCTCTGATGATGAATCATGATAATGATGATAATTAATGATACTGTTGAAGCTTTTGATGACAAATTATGATTTTGATAATGATTTATGAAAATTATGATAATTAATGACAATGTTGAAGCATTTGATTATTAATTATGATTATGAATTTGACAATGGCTTTATGATTATATTGATAACTACGATTAATAATTGATGTTCAACAAAGACACTGATAAAGATATTGGTGTTTACAAAACCAGCAAATCTTATCAATGAATAAACACAATCAAACAAAACTCTCTGACAAGTCTCTAAACAACACCTAGACTTCAACAACTGGTATTCTCAGAAAACCCTAGAAATATGAATTGTGGCAATACTGGAGAAAATAAAACGCTTTTTAGCGGTGGGCAACGGAACGGAGGGTGCACCGGGGGCACGTGATACAACTTTTGGAAGGATGCCCTTTTCTGAGAAGTGAACTCTATGAAGAGGTGCTCCTTTCTGCGACATGGTGTCCTTTTTATGCGACATGTTCCCCTATTATGCGACATGGCGCCCCTTTTATGCAGCATGGTGTCCCTTTTATGCGACATGGTGTCCCTTTTATGCGAAATGGTGCCCCTTTTACGTGAAATGGTGTCCCTTTTATGCGCCATGGTACCGCTTTTATGCTACATAGTGTCCCTTTTGTAGTATATGGTGCCCCTTTTATGCGACATGGTGTCCCTTTTATGCGACATGGTACCCCTTTAAGGCGACATGGTGTCCCTTTTATGCGAAATGGTTCCCTTTTACGTGAAATGGTGTCCCTTTTATGCGACATGGTGTCCCATTTATGCGACATGGTGTCCCTTCTATGCGAGGTGGTGCCCCTTTTATGCAACATGGTGTCCCTTTTATGCAACATGGTGTCCCTTTTATGCGACATGGTGTCCCTTTTATGCGACATGATGCCCTTTTATGTGACATAGTGTCCCTTTTATGCGAAATGGTGTCCCTTTTATGAGACATGGTGCCTCTTTTATGAGACATGGTGTCCCTTTTATGCGGCATGGTGTCCCTTTTATGCGAGGTGGTGCCCCTTTTGTGAGACATGGTACCCCTTTAATGCGACATGGTGTCCCTTTTATGCTACATGGTACCCCTTTTATGCCAGGTGGTGCCCCTTTTATGCGACATGGTACCCCTTTAATGCGAAATGGTGCCTGCTTCTGATGTCCCTTCTTATCTGTGCACCTCCTCCTCTGAAGTGCTTCCCGCGCCTCTGCTTTTCAGGAAAACTTTTAGCGTTACAATTGAAAACTATTCTAGACAGAACGACAGGAATTCAAGTTCCCATTTGGAAGACAACGGTTTCGAAACGGATCATCAATAGGTCAAGAAGGGTCAAAGAAAAAATGAAGACGATTTGCTTTTGTGAAAAAGGCCGCGAGAAAAT